CCACGTCGAAGATGTTCCAAAGGCAGTCACGCCCGCAGAAGTAGACAGATGCCGTGAGCACCTCAAGTCGCTCTAAGCTATTCGGGGAGGGAACCTGGACTCTCAAACTACCCTTGAAACATAGGACATCAACCCGCCATACCCAAATTGGCATTGGTAGTTTGAGGATCCAGGAACCCTTAACTGGGAACCCCAGAGAGCAAAAGGCTGCCACCGGAACATCTGGGTTCCTATTTGCTGAATTGCAGAAAATTCTCATTGACACAAGACAATTTTCACTAAACGTGGCTGCCACTCTTTCAAACAGTGCATGCACGTAGCACAAACACACAGACACACACGCACGTCACAAACACACAGCCAACCAACCAACCAACCAACCAGCCAGCCAGCCAGCCAGCCAGCCAGCCAAGCAAGCAAGCAAGCAAGCAAGCAAACAAAGAGGCAACCCGAGAAACGGACAGACTGGACACACATAACAGGACAAACAGCGCAGACAGGTAGACAAGAAGGCAGGCAGGCAGGCAGGCAGGCAGGCAGGCAGGCAGGCAGGCAGGCAGGCAGTCAGGCAGGCAGGATAGACGGGACAGACCGGACAGAACGGACTGGCGGACAAAGACAAAGACAAAGACAAAGACAATGACAAAGACGACAAGGACAGACAGGGAGGCAGGCAGGACAGACGGGACAGAAAGAAAAGAGAGCACGAAAGGAAGACAGGAAGCAGGCAGGCAAGCAGACAGACAGACAGACAGACAGACAGACAGACAGACAGACAGACAGACAGACAGACAGACAGACAGAGACAAAGACACACACACACAAACACAAAGACAGATAAACAAAAGTTGACAAAAGCAGACAAAGCAGGACAAAGCCAACGGCAACGAAACACAAATTAAGGCAGACAAAGACAAAGACACATACCAGGACAAAGGCAAGGCGAAGACAGGCAGGCAGGGAGGGAGTCAGGCAGGCAAGCAGGCAGGACAGACATCACAGGAAGAGAGATCGAAAGGAAGACTGGAAGGCAAGCAGGCAGGCAGGCAGCAGGCAGCCAGACAGAGACAAAGACACACAAAGACTGACAAACAAAACCAGACGACAGACAGACAGCCAGACAGGCAGACAGGCAGGCAGGCAGGCAGGCAGGCAGGCAGACAGACAGACAAACGGCATCTGTTGCATACGTCTACAATAGAACCCCACATGTGTTGCTTTCATGAACCTTCTACCCGGCCATTTGCTCTTCCCATTGCGCCCAAGCTGCACAGGTCTTTACGATCACTTCGGCCACAAAAACAACCGCGCAGGTCCCATCCAGCACCACCCACCCGTACCAGTCCGGGTCGTTGTCCAAGGAAATGCCCATGAAAGCGAAACCTGTGGCGGTCGGACAAGTCTTTGACTTGCAAAAAGTGTATCGTAGACATGGAACCAAAGAGGTCCTCATTAGAGAAAACCCCTTTTGGGGGGGACGAGCTAGTGTTTTAGCTGGCTGATGGAGACACAAGCAGTCGAAGCATAAAGGTAAAACAAAGGGATGTGGGACTCTGAGAAGCCTTCAACCCCCGTCCTCAGGCAGCACAACATGCTCATCTGCCCGAAAACCCTGATGTTTGGCATCATGAGTGACGGGCTTGGCAAAGCGAAACCTAGTGGCGTACGTTGATGGGCCTTCTGCCAAGCGTAAGAACCCGTTGGGTTTCCCTGGCAAGTCTTACGTCAACTTGTTCATGTCGCTGTCATTTTGGAAATGGGAGGAGGCCTCATCACAATGCTGCGGTGCCTCTACCGGTGTTTCGTCTGTGCCGGCTCCTGTCATTGCTTGGACCTCATGAATTCTGGGTTACACATGCCGGGTGAAACCAAACGAATAACCAGTCCTGCTAGCTTAAGTTTTGGAAACTTGACATGGGCCGGATTGGCACCCAGAATCAATCATCATAACTCAAGTTTGTTGCACCTTAGATCAAGTTTGCACGGAGTCTCTGCTCGAAATGTTGCTTTTCTCTGCATCCTCGCAGCTCAGGAGGATCGCAAAGGTCGACAGGCCTGTCCTAGGCAACCATGGTTGTAAGTGTGACTACCTGGGTGGCAGCTGTGCTAAACACGATCATGATGATGATAATAGCAACACTAATAACAATGGCAACCACTCTACTATAGCAACAGTAACTAATATTAACACTAAGGATAACAATAGTAATGACACAAATAGATGTGCATATTGCGTATATCAATGGGTATAACTTACATAGTGACTGGCCGCCCATCCAAGAAAGAGCACCCTGTCCTATCGCAGAAATCCGGCGAATGCCACAAGCCGCACACCTCACTGACTGCTCAGTCTCATAAAATCTGTGGCACAACGCCTCAGTGTGAGAGCGTGACCAGGAACCCAAAATCACAGCAACCAAGCTCGAGGAAAAGCAGGGCCGAATGACCTTTTTGCTCACATGGGCAAAGCACATGTGTTGGAGAAACCTTCGGTGGACCTCATGGGCATGAGGACTTGTGTCTTTGCGCACCCATTTCAGGCCGTCACCCCCAAAATCGTATTCCAGGCGTCACCAAGCTCACGTAGCGCTGGCCCTTGGACAGGGGCTTCTTGACCTCAGCAGCCGCGGGGATTTCCACGGACAAAAAGTACAACAACCTTCTCTTGCTTCGTCTTGTTGTTGAAACCCTTCCCGAAACCAGGTGAAAGACACAGCAAAAAGGCAACCAGAACCAGGAAGTTGCAGGGCTGGAGCCTACGGGTTGCAACTGGGTCGCCTTTTGGTAGGCCATCAGCAGGGCGCTGGAGGTCCCGGTAGCTGGCATCTCGTCCCCAAGCAGCGCGCGCTGCAGGACGAAGAGGTTCAGCGCCTAACCCCCACGGACCTGTTGCGTCCCTCAAATTACAAAGGAGCTTGTCCCGTTCTTTGCACGCCTCGAAAAGCCACTGAGTTTGGAAGATCTGTGCATGTTCAATTGGTTTGTTAGAGGGTTCCTTGGTACAGAAGAAAAAACCAAAGGACCAGCTTTATGCATTTTTAGGAGGTAAGGCACACTCTGGGGAACCGGTGGAAAATCTCAGGGATGGGCGCTCAGCAGTGACCAGCACCAACTCTTGGTTTTGACTACCGTGCGGGGTCCCATTTTGACTACCGTGAAGGCATGAAACTGCAACTATTGAAATGGTCCAAACAGGTTGGAATTTTTCGGGCTCCTGTGCTTCCCCCAAATCCGACTGAGATCTTAAAGGTTCGCTGTTTCACCTGATCCAAGTTACTGGACGTGTCAAAGCGTTACAAGAGGGCACAAGCAGAAGGCATAACCCCTGCCGGGTAGAAGGGCATGTGCCATCGACCCTCTGAGGCAGGTGCCACAGGGCCGGTGGAGTACTTGGGCAGGTTCTCCAGAACGATGCATTCCTAACAGAAATCCGCGCAACTGCCTGGGGATGCTGTTCAATCGGGCGTTTCTCAAAGTGGCCCCCTTGGGTGGCTTCTGAAGAAAGCAAAGAACAAACAAAAACGCCTGGAGGGAAAGGTTTTATAAACCCAAAGAGGGGATGCAGCTTCTATGCCCCGAAGTGCGGAAGCAGTTGGCCGAGAAATGTGGATTTGAGGACGGTCTATATTTATGTCAGCCCCAACTCACATGCGAAATATTGGTAAGCCACCATTTCCCCCCAATGTCGCCCCGTTTACCAATTCTGGGGTACTCCAAAAAACAAGTTTCAGATGATGGTGCATTTTTAGCCAACCTCAAAATAAACATGCATATTGTGTGTATACATAATATATATATATATATATATTCCATTCTGAGGAGACCAACTTACTACAGTAGATGATAGCAACTATCGACTGTTGCTTGTATGCCTCACGGATCATGTCATCTTCCCAACGATGATTGCCTTCAATCTCTAGCGGCTGTCCAATCCCCGGCAAAAACATGTAGGGACAGGATTACACTTTTTGAGACTGAATCCCAGCGTTCCTTTTTTGGTCAAATGAACCCAGCTTCTTAAAGTCTACCTTAGGATCATCAAAACTTGGAAGTCTGTCGGAGGAAGCTACCAACTCCGCTTCAAAGATGTCAGCTCCAAGCGTCGGTAAAGCTCTTCCAAGACATCACCGGCTGTGGCGCGATGAACTTCTGCAGCCGGGTCTTGTCTACGACGTTCTGGTGGATTCGGCGAAGCTCTATCAGCACCTCGGGAGTGCATCACTGCATCACCATATTCCTGGAGAAAGTGACACGCAGAAACAAGTCCATGTGACTGGCCAATGCGCTGACATGAACTGTCTATTTCAAGCTGGCGGAGTCATGCAATCAGTTCCAGAAGTGCGGCTGAGACGCCTCATCCATGTCATCCTCAGGCCAAAAAACTGACACATGCTGGCGTGTGTGCGCGGTCAAAATTGTGTTTTCCCCCAATGACATGGGTTTGCACGTGTGTTTTCCCCAAATACAAACCCGTGAGTAGCTGGTAGGTGACCAGAAACAGGGTAATGTATGGTTTCCTAGTGAACTGGACCCTCAGCGCTACTTGACATGCTCTCTTGAGTCGCGAACTCCTTGTGATGCTTGTCCCCATCAGCTCCCCAATGCCAGAAAAGGACACTGGCCCTGTGTGTTTTCAGCGTTAACTTCAAACCCCTTGGCTGTAACTTTCGGCAACAAAGCATCAGCATGCAGTGACGCGTTGCTTGGTTTGGTTGTTGCCTAAAGCAAACAACAACACATTCACAAACGTGTCAAGGAACCTGCCCTTCTGATGTATATGTCCGCATTGCTAGGCAACTGCAGCCTCAGTCACGTCGGAAACCAGCACACGCAGTTGCCATGAATTGCTTCAGTCCTGGACCAAAGCCAGAGAAATCAGACGCCAACTTCTTCCGATCCCAAACCCAGAGACACTGAAAAACAATATGCGGAGCCTCTTGAACCCGGATCGTTTTGAGCGAGCCCAGCATACAAAACGATATTTGGAGGGTGCCGCTGAACAAAGGCCAAGATCCCCGCACCTTCACAAAGGCAACGGCTGATCATGCCGGTTTTGAAGCGGTAGGGTTAAAACAACTTGAAGACAAGAATGCCCTCGAAAGCCCCTACACACAGACACAGATACAGACCACACACAAACACACACACACAAACACACACACACACACACACACACACACACACACACACACACACACACACACACACACACACACACACACACACACACACACACACACACACACACACACACGCACACGCACGCCCACGCCCACGCACGCACGCCACGCACGCACGCGCGCACGCACGCGCACGCGGCGCACGCGCGGGCGCGCGCACGCGCAGGCGCACGCGCACGCGCACGCGCGCGCGCACGCACACGCACACGCACACGCACACGCACACGCAGACGCACACGCAGACGCACGCACCCACACGCACGCACGCGCGCACGCACGCACGCACACACGCACACACGCACACACGCGCACACACGCACGCACACACGCACACACGCGCACACGCGCACACGCGCACACGCACACCAGGTACATGCTCACAAATACAGGTACACAGAAGTACCGATCTATATGTATTAATATGTATATATGCATATATATATATATATATATATATATATCGTTGAGGTCCCAGACCCCAAAATCGCCAAGTCGCCATGCCCAAGCTTATCATCGTGGGATTCTTCGAGGCCCTCAAGGCAGCGAACAGGTCCTCGGGCCCAAAAGATCCAAATGGCTGGACTCTCATCAGCAAAACGGTAAAAAGGATTTCGCTGTCCAGCTGGTGACACAGTCTCGGCAAATTGGTGGCTGGCTGGCAGCACTGCTTTTGGGCCAGAAAGTGAAGAAAACTTTGCATACGCAGCAGCGGCAGTACCGCTGGACGACCCTCTGAAAAATACAAATACGTGTCAGCGTCGGATGTCTCACTTCTGTTGCAGTGGGACTGCCAACATCTCCCAACGCAGCCAGTACACGTTCACACATCAGCTGCTGCAACACGCAGGTTTGTTCAGCTGAGTTAAGTTCCGCACCCGGACTCATATATGCATGAGTTCTAGATCCTTGTTGGCAGGAACATCTCAAACCTCAAGCAGCTTGGGCTTGCTCTGTTGTTTGGAATGACAAAGCATCTTCCTGGGCTGTTCAAAGGGCGTCGGATTAGGATTGGCCAGCCCTCCTTTCTTTGGGGAGCCTGCCCTTTTGGGATGGCTTTGATTGGCGTTTTCTGCCCCCGCCCCAAAAAAAAAGCATTCAGACGCACGGAATCTCAGGGCTCCTGTCTGTTGCTTCATTCGTGTTTGAGGTGAGTAAGCTCCAACTTGTGCTTTCCGAGCGCCAAAAAGCGCAGACTCCGGGGTGCACCCAAATTTTACTGCCCGAAGGCTTTTTCCAAAGCCTGCAAAACGCAAGGGGGTGCCTTGACGGACAGAACGGCCCAGTGATCCCAAACAGGTGCATTTTACGAATACTGTGGTTCACTGACAAACCAAGGGCACACGCAAAATTTGGGCCTTGATAGAGAAAGCCAGTAAATCGATTTGGAGGTCAGATTGTCCTCTTGCAAGTTTAGTACTGGCTTAGTACTATTGGTTGGAATTTGTTCCAGAAAGGGCCCTTGTAAACCCTGATATCCTTTGCTTTTCCTTAAGAGGGTCACGGCGGATAACACAAACAGGCATATCGTTTTTGAGCACACGCTTGAGCAGCGCCCGGTGACTTTTGGCTCTGCCAAAATGGTACGGGTTTAAATTACCTTCATTTCAATCCTCATCAAACCAGCTGGAACCACTTTCTAGAATGGGCCAACTCGTGGAGCTCGAATTTTACCAACTCAGGAATCAGCCCAGAAGCCCGAGCCATGATGACCTTGGATCTGGGATCCTTGACAGCAAAGAGGAACTCCAACCTGGCCCAGGTGCTGCTTCTGTAAACAGGAAGGTCAAAATTAGAAAGCCCAAAGGGACCCCGTTTTGGGAATTCTGCAATGGCGACAAAGGGTTCCTTACATGTCCCCTTCAAACATCACCCCGAAGGGACATAAGAAATGTATGCATATACAAACAATTGGTTCTTGAGATGGCCAAAAAGGGACATATATGGACCCCGGTCAAAACCGCTTCAGCATAAACAACCAAGCCGAGGGTGAGGGAAGCCGGTAAGTCCTCCCACATCTTCTTGAATGGCCGAAACACTCCTGACATTTCCCAGACAATACCTGTCTTTCGAAACTGATGACCTCGAATTTCTGTTGGGCGGTACAGTGTGGCATCACTGACCAACACATAATTCAACGCCAACGAACTACTCACACCTGCTTGCGGCCTCTAGCGCCATCAAGATTTGGGGGACAGCGGATCACGGGATGCAAGACAAAGAGCAGACCTGCGGGTGTGTCCCAAAATAGGAGCCCCCGCCCCCCCCCCCAAAAAAAAAAAAAGGCTGGTTGCTTTCTTCCTGCCTTGTCTTTCGCCGTGCATCCATATATATATATATATAAAGTATGACCCTCGGCCACACTCGTGTCCAATGAAGGCCCAATAACTTTTGTGAAGCCACTGGATTTGGATATGCAACTTGTGTTTGAGGGTACCCTAGGCCCTAGGCGGTTCTTAATTCAAGCCAACGGAAGCCACCCATGAAAACTTCCGTTGTTGCCTGCAGCATCCGGCACTCGAAGATTGCTCGTCAACTCTAGTGGACACAACAAGCTGTTTGAAGCTGAGCTTTGCTGTGCCGGGCTGCAAGGACTAACAGCTCTCGACTAAATAACACAACATATAGCTAGCTTGTCACCTGAGACAGGCACTTCCACCAGGCTCTGCAGGTCATGACTCTCTTGATGCCTTGTTCGGAGAGATTGACTTCAATCTGTGTGGCCTCAACAAGCAAGCAGTCTGAGACAATCATTTGAACGCCGGGCGAGAGAAGAAACCCACGCCTGACAGTGAATAGTTTTCCGGCTTAATCGAGTTCCCTGTGCTTCCGGAAGAAAGACAAGTATCGGGTGATATCGGGTGCCAGGCTCGCGACGGTTCAGGAAGCCGCAATGAAAAAGAGGGCTGCTTATTTGAGGAAGCAAATAAACAAAAAAAAACTCAGGACGTGCAGGGAGATGTCCAAAGCATCGAAGGCTTTACACAAACTGATTCATGCGAGACAAAATGGCTGCTGCTGAAAAAGGCACCCGGACATAAAGGTACTTCCACCATAAAGGTATGTGCAACATGAAAGGACCCCCAAAATGGTGGGGTTCCTCTTAGTTTTCTTTCAGCAAGGTGACAACAAGGGTGAAAGGGGATGCAAAAAAGTATCCTAGATCCAGAAAGTGGGAAGCGAGATCACTATGTCGGAAACCGCACCAGCGACGTCAGCAAATTCGCGTGCCTGTCTTGGATGCGACCTATCGTTGTGTTTCGCCGCCCTTTCCTTGGCATTCCACATGCATGCCAAACGCCGGACGGATAATGATCCGACCCCACCGCATGAGGCTTGCACCTCTCTTCAGGCCTTCTTTTGACAAAGTCACTAAGCAAACACTTCTGCAAGATGACACACAAGCACTTGTAACTCCAATTAGTGTTCAATTCTCGCAGCTCTGGCCTTATTGAGCAATGGTCAAGCATAGGTTTCCGTTTTTTGCTTTGTCTTTTTGTTGACGGAAACCACATCAGAAAGCCAAGTTGTTTTGGAGACCAATTTTAAGAACCGCCACGCAACCTGCTTTCGGCTTTGTGAAGCACCTGCTGCATTACCTGCTTGCCAAGGGGCTTGCCAGCCGGAGTCTGGCCCTGGGACGGATTGAGCAACTTGTTCCACTGCCACCCTCATGCAAAGAGAAATCCCTATCGCTGATCTGAATGAATGTCAACCATCCCTGAGCAACTTAGTGCACAAACCCAAGCCAAGACGATTTGCTATGCCAGCAACAAAAAAGCACTGAAGGCAAGAACGCCCTTATATGTCTTTATGTGCTTGATGAACGAAGTAAATGTGAAGCTGAGCGGAAGACAACCATGACTGCCACAAGAGTGCACGTTAGGCCGCACTCTTTCGGCCAAAGAGCCCTCACACGCACACCACATCCAGCACCGCTTGGAATGGATAAATCTTATGAATACTGGGATAAACCACCTGCAAACTGGAGCAGGACTTGTCCATCCGCAGTGGTGATGTTATTGTCAACCAGCTCTTGCGCCTGCCGTCCATGCCGAAAAGCCTTCAGAGCCTAGCATGTGTTCACCCTGTCCAAACCAAGGATGCACTGTGCACGGTGCATACCCTAAAAATGTCAAATAAGGGAACACGGACACCGATTATTGAATTTACCATAACTGAAAGTTCTATCATGGGCTTTGTGGTTGAGTGTGATTGGCTTTTTTGTTTTTAGGGGCATTCATCTATGCCGTGTTCCATATCATTTGGGAAGCCCTTTGCGCGGCACTCGCTTCAGCACGACAGCAAGTGATTACAGCTGCCTGCATCGTTGGACGTTTTGCTTCAACATTCAAACTGCCAACGCTGCGTTCTGTGCGTCTGGTCTACAAAGTTGTCATGAAACCCAAAAAGGCATCCCCCAAACGAAGATTCCTGTACCCCCAGTGGATTTGCTGTTAAGCTGCAGGCGAGTCCTTGCATGCAAAAACCTGGCTTGAACATTCTGCACCCCAGACTGGTCGAAGGCCGTTGGCTGCAAGATGCTCAATTGCTCTGTCGGCTGTCGGGCGACAAGCTCCAAGCGTGCTCTGCCCATGGCTTCACCTTCAAGAATGGATGGCATACATTTGCAGCAGGGGTTCTTTCGGAAAGATCATCGCACCAGTCGCTGATTGCAACCAATGTGAAACCAGCATGAAGCATGGGCACGAAACAGGGCCGTAGTAAGAAAAACTGGGCGGCAGCTTATGCGAATGCGCGATTCCAAGATCTGCGCCGAGCCCACGCGTGGCAACCGCTGGACGGTTGGGCTTTTCCAACCT